CATAGCAGCACTGTATACAATAGCCAAGACATGGAAACAACCTAAATGTCCATTGACAGATGACTATATAAAGAAGCTTTGGTGTATTTATACAATGGAATACTACTGAGCCATAAAAAAGAATAAAATAATGTCATTTGCAGTAACATGGATGGACCTGGAGAGGTCATCATTCTAAGTGAAGTAAGCCAGAAAGAGAAAGAAAAATACTATATGATACCACTCATATGTGGAATCAAAAAAAAAAAAAGAAGAAGAAGAAGGAGAAGGGGAAGGGGAAGGAGAAGAAGAAGGAGAAGAAGAAGAAGACACTAATGAACTTATCTACAAAACAGAAACAGACTCACAGACATAGTAAACAAACATGATTATCAGGGAGAAGGGGGGTGGGAAGAGTTAAATTGGGAGTTCGAGATTTGCAAATATTAACTACTATATATAAAATAGATAAACAACATGTTTCTTCTGTATAGTATAGGGAACTATATTCAATATCTTGTAGTAACCTATAATGACAAAGAATATGAAAATGAATATATATATGTATATGTATGACTGAAACATGCTGTACAGGAGAAATTTGACACATTGTAAACTGACTATATATACACACACATATACTATATATATACATACACTGTACTATATATATACTATATACTATATATATGTGTATGGTGTGTATGTATATATATATGTATGAAGAAAAAATCTTTCTTCTTTATAGATCTGTGGGCAAAGGAAGGACTCCCACACCTTCATTATTTGTTTAAACAACATTGTGTCAAACAAGTAATTCTAGAGTTCCTATGCAGTTAATGTTATCTCATGAGTATTTTTTCTCATCTACTCAAAGTTGCAGGAGGGTACTGCTCTTCAGGCATACAAATCTGGGCACTGATTCCTACACTGGGAAACGTACAGAAATAGGGCTATCAAATTGCTCAGGATTTGAAAAATGATTTTAAATGAGGCAAATTAATTCATTGCTTCATAAGCTTTTTATAGTTATGAACTTTCTCATATTTTTTGTGATAAAGACTTACAGTCAAAGGTCAATTTAGAATAATTCTACTTCAGCACTTTAGGACAGCAGTATTTTACATGAAAGATATGCTAGCTGTGAGCGGCATGAAATGGTAGTAAACCCAATGAAAGATAAAATTACACTGCCATAAAAAGTAACAAGCTTTATGTCATTTCACATCTTGTTTAAAACACAGGAGGCTAAGTATTTATAATGGTCAAAGCCTATCAAGTCTATTCTGTTTTATTTTTTCATTTTTGCTCCAGTGTTAACTGGTCTGTGGTCCTATCAGTAGGGATTAAAGTCATGTGACTTCTAGAACAGGAATTTTGTCTTTCTTGCTCACAGTCGTAAAGTCCTATTTACCACAATAAATATTCATAGAATACACGTGTAGAAATCAATTAAATTCTACAGATCACTTGATTATTAATTAGCCTATCAAATTAATTAGCCTATCAAAGGATACTGTATGGAAAAACTTGAGTCCCATAGGAAAATGGACTCTTAATGGATGTGTATGTGTTCTGTATTGAATTCCCTCTTCTAGTATTCTTAGTTTCCTGTAAACTCGGACACTTTAAGGACAATGATGTTTTTAAGAAACTAAATATAGACATATTTTAAATAGTTAACCTTTTGAAGTATTTAATATATTAATATTAAATTATTATTTAATAATAAAAGAATTGAATTTGAAGTTTAAGGAACTAAACTATCAAATGTTGTAATATTAAATTATTCACTAAGCCAATTAAAATTATATGAAAAGTATGAATAAGAAACACAAATGTAAAATATAAATCATTTGGTCAGTCATTCAAAAAACATATATTGGATATGACTGTGTGCCAGGCAGTGTTCTAGGCTCTTGGGATGTAATAGTGAGTAAGAAGAGGAAACATCTCAGGGGAGTGGGAGCAGACAGACAACAAACAGCTGAAGAAGGTACAAACAAACAAACATATGAGTGTTATGGAAATGATACGTTGTTTGGAGAACAATACAACAGAATAATGTTATAAAGATTATGGAGACGTTCTATTTGACGTAGGACAGACAAGGACGTGCGCTTGCATGAATTTCAGTGCTACGAAGGAATGAACCTGGGGACCCCTGGTGGAAGTCATACCTCAGCAGAAGAAGCAGTAGATGAAACCGATATGAGTGAGAAGGATATTTGTCATTTTCAAGGAAGAGCAAAACTTCTGATATGGCTTACGAGTGACAGACAGAGATTACTTAGGAATGAGATGATAATAGGGGATACGTTGTGCAGAGGCCAGAGTAAGGACTTTGGGCTTTGTTCTAAGTGCAATGTTGAAGCTTCTGGAGGATTTAGAACATAAGAATGATGTGCTATGACTTCTGTTTTAAAAAGAAAACTCTGGCTACACCCCAGGGGTGGGAGGCCATGACAGGTGGACACACAGTTTAGAAGTGGAGAGGCCAGTTAGAGGGATATTTTAGTTGTGCTAGGGATCATGTTGGGAGTGAAACAGGGTATCCTTTTTGTGTTGTTTGTAACAAGTATCTTTATCTTGGATGTATTTCACAAATAATGCTGACATCTGTTTCTGATGTATTAGAAGTAGACAGTGAGAGAAAGATTCAAGGATGAGTTATGGATTTTTGGCTTGAGCAAATGAAAAACTGGAGGTGTCATTCCTAAAATAAGAAGAACTGGGGAGTGTGTGGTGTGGAGCAGAAAATCGAATGCACAGCATGCTAAGTTTCAGATGTGTATTAGCCAAGTAGAGGCCTGAGTAGACGGCTGGATAGGGTATACTCAGTTGATTTTCACTCTGACACCATTAGCTATGAAGCAGTTTGTGGAAAGAAGCGTTCTTCTTTTTCCCCCAGGGATCATAAATTCTTTAACCAAAACAAAAAAAATCTATTTTTCCTGTCTCCGAATTTCCTATGATATGTGAAACAGCTAATAAATCTTTTATTTGTGCTTCCTTATCTTATTGTAATTAGTTAAGATTAGCCTAAGTCATTTGGAAAGTTAGTTTAGCCTGAACGTAGTAACGGTAATCATCATGACCGTCTATTGACTTCTGTTGCCAAGCACTCTTTTAAATACTTTAGTGTCATCCTTGCCAGACTCGAACTTTGTTTCCAACGTACTAAACACATAACAGAGTTTTAGAAATGCTGAATGATTTGACCATGTTTACATGGCCGATATGTTCAAATAATACCAAACTGTACACTCTTACAGAGCATTTAAAATTGCTATAATTTTGAAGCGCAAATTATTTCTCCCTTCCCTTTGAAATTTTCCCTAAAAAATCAAAAAGAAGCAGTGATGGTGTAAGAGCATTTTTCTTTAAAGACAAAATGTTTCCCTTAAGTGAACATGAATCTATTTAAGTGCACCGGGTTACTCCTACCACCAAGACAATGTTTTTCTGGTGTATTTTTTCTTTACTGTCCCAAAGCAGTCACTGTTGAATTCCCCATCCCCAGATAGCACTCTCTTGCTCTCCACTAAAACATCCTGGAGTCCTCTGAGCTCCCCATCCTATATCTGATTCCTAGTACCGTCCCCATATTCCTAAACATTCCGACACTTTTTATTTAGATTTTTGACTACTCAGCCACACTCTTCTGCTGAACTATGGCTCTGGAGAATTAGAAGCCTTTGGCAATTCCAGGTGCCATTCCAGGCATATGGAAAGCGAATAGGGAGGTGTTAGAAGTTGACTATGAGAGACAGAGCTGATTTAAAAGCTAGTTTAGTGCTGAGGTATTGGATGGGAGAAGCAACTGCCACTGGTGGCTTTTGCTTATTGTCTGTAACTTTGGACAAATGCAGCTTAGTTGTTGATGTGTCTATTAGTTAGTAATGATTTGAGATTACCTCTAGTTACTTCAGCAAAAAGCAAGAGGGTGTTTGTATAATGTTTTGATTACTATTTAGCCAACCTAAAACAACCTTAGCCTTCTTATAAAGGTGAAACATAAACACCATCAATGAGCAGGGAAATCATCCATTGGCTGTGTGTCTAACTCCTTGCTTTACTGATTGATCCACTCCCCATCTGAAGCGGTAATCGTCTGGCCCTAACATGAGCTATGTAACTTCAGTGTAGATCTCTGCCTTTGCCCCGTTTTTAAGTCTGTTGCTCGTGTGTCTTCTACCGTTGTCACACTCTGGGGTCAGGTAGGTCTGTTTTGAATTTCAGAGGCATCATTTACTTCTGTGTGATGATGGAAAAGTTACTTAATCTTTAGATTCCCACTTTGTTTTTTCATATATGAAGCATATATAATATCTACTCTACAAGTTTGTTGGGAATATTAAAAGAGTTAACATGTGAAGCATAGAAGCTATAAAATAGTAGATGCTCAAAAAACATAATTATTAAATTTTTACATGTAAACAAAATGCATAGTTAATGTATACTTTTGATGTAAAAATATGGTTTTTTGTCATGGTAATTCAAAAAATGACCTTTGACATGTGTAGGAACATACAGATTTCATCAAATGTGAGTGTGAGTGGGTGTGTGCAGTCTCTTTCATATATGTGTTTGCACTCATAAACACATTCTCCTTTAAATATTTTCTATATTAAAAACAGGTTTGGGTTTAAAACCACAAAGAATCAGTTATATTAAAAATAACTATTGGAATGTGGTATTTAATCATAAAAATGTAAGTGATATCTCCATACATGGAGGCATAGGTGTTTCCAAGAATTATGAAAGTCAACACTTTAAAGGAAGATTTTTAGAAAGAACACTTGGAGCCAAACATCACTGTGGAATTTTCTAATTCATTCCCCAAATGTCTGACAAGATAACTAAATGACATTAGGAAAAGCAAAATGTTCTCTGCATATTCAACCTTTTGAAAAATGTCGGTGACAAATGGTGTACTATAATATAAAATTTGGGGATGATTTCCTTGTCTAATGCTCCTGTCATTACTCACCTAAAGGACCTATTTGTTTGTTTAACAGGTGCTATCACAGGTCACTCTCCTTCTGAGGGTTTGCTTCATTATCCTGACCTTGACCTCCATTGGATTTCTTCTGGATCAAAGGTAAGAAGTGAAATTCTTTCATTTTATGTTACTTTATAATATAATTTTTGAAAATATATGTGAAACTTTGATATTCAGCAAACATTTGTTAATAAAAATTTAAGTTGAAACTGCAATTTCACATCTTCATTGAAAATGAGATACAGTAGTACTTTATCTGATTTTAAATCAAGGATCCATTTTAAATTTAAGCCTTTTAAATGAAATATATATTTTTCAAGTATATTAAGAAATTTCTGTAACATACAATGATTAATTTGGCAAAACATAGACTGTAACCCTGAGTACTTAATAAAATATAAAATATATTTGAGTATTTTATCTTTGCCATTACATAATTCATACATATGCCCAAATGTATTACACTTGTCCCTGGATACCTGCAGAGGGTTGGTTCCAGGACACCCTCCCCCGCCCCCTCCCCATACCAAAATCTGCAGATGCTCAAGTCCCTTTTATAAAATGGTATACTATTTGTATAAAACCTATGCACATCCTCCCATATATTTTAAATCATCTCTAGATTATTTATAAAGCCTAATACTATATTGATAGTTGTAAATACAATTTACATACTATGTAAATAGTTGCTAGCAATGGCAAATTCAAGTTTTGCTTTTTGGAAATTTCTGGAATTTGGGGAGAATATTTTTCCATCTGAGGTTTTTTGAATCTGAGATGCAAAACCCACGGATATGTAGGGCCAATTTATTTAAAGTTTATGACATTTACTCTCACATACCATATTATTTAATGAATTCTGTTTTAAATAGTACTCTGACCATAAAATACATTCACTTGAACAAATTTAAATTGTTTTTATGGCAGGAGGTATATAGAAAACTCTCTGGTCATTATTGCTTAGTATTTATCAATTATTAATATTAATACTAATACCAATATTTGTGTACTTAATATATATCATTCAGCATGTTATTAATTCTCACCACACTCTAAGATAAGAATTACTAAAAACCCTATTTTACGGATCAAGCCAGACACAAGAACAGTAAGAGAACAGAACACGAACACAAGCAATGTGACTCCAAAATTTATATAATACAGATTTTACATATATTGTAACTTTGAAAAACTGCAAAAAAGCTCCATCATTCTTGAAATCTTATCCTTGTTGTAGTGTAATTGTTTTTCAAGTAGGTAACCAGTAACCAAATTACCTTTAGGAAATTTTAAATATAAAAGTCCAATAAACATACATTTAATTTATATTGAATGTTATGCCACTGTCCTAAGACATGCTTAATAGGTGTTTTGGAATATAAATCAATTCTGGAGTTTCTTTGAGATCCAGGTCCACATGAACTTACTGGTTAATGGTCTGTGTCCAATACACATTCTCATAAACATTTGGTAAAGAAAGATGCAGCTGGCACACTTCACATAAGAATATGTAAACAATGTGTAGGATTTTAAACTAATTTCCTTCAATAGTTAAAAAAATTGAGTTCATTTTCATCATTCATTTTGTTTGGCTCTCCAGCCCTACTTTTCTATGCTAGAAATTAAGTACATACTGAGCCATAAAAAGAGAAAATGAAAAACTGAGTCACAAGACAATCTGAAATAACTACCCAGATCCAAAGAATCAGAATCACATTTTAAAGATCAAAATTCTTTTGGTTGCATATACTTACTAAAATGAGCAATCAGCCAACAAAAATAGTAAAATTTCATTTTTTAATGAAGATTTTATTTATCTCCATGGATACAGATAAACAGCCCAAGTAAGCAAGCTATCAGTTTTACCACAATATCGCCTCTGATACATTAAGTCATTCTCATTGTATATATTTATATAAAAGTCTCAGCTGCGTCTGGCCTGCCCCAGGAACTTGTACTGAGATGCAGGTATGTCGCTCCAAACTAGTGCAGAGGGAACCAGAGAGGATGGAGTGGTATTTTTAAAGTGCTGAAAGGAAATTACTGCCAACCAACCATTCTATGTCCAGCAAAAATTAGGCGAAGCAAAAACTATTTATATGCCCTTCTATAGCAAGCTTCACCTTTAGTATTGGAATGTTGAAATTTTTCTTTTGAAATTGAGAGCCAGTTATAGATATGCTTGTTATTTAGCCCTGTGCTGGAAACTGTCCGGGAAGGAAGGTAAGAGAAAGAAAGAGAAGGCATTAGGATTTGAAAAGAATTAATAAGTAGAAAATTACTTTATATTAATTAATCTAAACTATAGGAAATGAATTTATTAGAAAAATTAAGGAATCTATAGGGAGAGTATTCAAATTAGTGGATGAATTTAGGAAAAGTTTTAAAGAAATGATCAACTGAATTTTTATATACTAGCAAATATAAAATTATATGCAGTAGCATCAAGTATATCAAATACCAACAAAAATCAATCCTGAAAAAGTGAGTAAAAGCTCTCTAAAACACACTAAAAGCTAGTGAAATATTCTGAAAAAATAAAGAATTAAAATAAATGGAGAGATAACTAAGTTCATAGATTGGAAAGCTCAATATTATAAATATTACACTCACCAGTTGAGTTACATATTCAGTGCAATTTGAATTAAAATTGTAAACTGTTTCTTCTTGGTGGAACTTGACAGGTTCTTTCTATAATACATGTACATGGAAATACAAAGGCCCAATATTAGCCAACAGTCTTGAGATTTCAAAAAAAAAATGACAGGAATTGCACTACTGGCTATCAAGATTTATTAAAAAGCTACAGCAATTAGACATTGTTTTATTGGCACACAGACTAGAGCAGAGAACCTAGAAACAGATCTATGCATATACATAGACTTGATTTGTGACAAAGGTGTCCCTGCAGAGCTATGGGAAAAGCAAAGGTGTCTTTTCAATAAAAAGTCTTAGAAAAATAGAATTTCCACATAGGAATAAGGAAAACAAGCTTGACAGATATTCCACACCATAAAAAATTAATTCTAGGGTCAGAGGATTTTAGATTTAAAAGTGGGAGTGAAACCAATACAGTTCGAGCAAGTAGCGCAGTAAAATATCTCTGCAGCCTTGGAGTAGGTAAAAATATTAAATGGGCCACAGAAGTGCCTAATCATACAGATCAAATTGATGAATGAGGTTGTAATAATGTTAAGAAAGTCAGTTCTTCAAAAATTAACTGTTATTAAGACAGTAAAAATCTAAAACTTTCAGGTAGCTGATGCTATTTGCAAACTGTATAAAGAGCAAAGACCTTATATCACAAATGGCTGAAATTAAAAGAATTGACAATACTAGCTGTTGGAATGCTCACACTTTGAAGAAGTTGGTTTATACTGTGACACCTAAATTGAAAAACAGAATTTTACTAAACTTGCATATATATATATATATCCTATAACCTGGCAATTCAATCCCAGGTATGTACTAACTGATACACCCAAAGACATGTGAAAGACGGCTGAGAAAGCATTGTTCATAATAAACAAATGCTGCCAGCAAGCCAGATGCCCTTCACCAGGTGAACGGGTGTATGAATATTGGTCTCTTCACACACTGGAATACTGTGCAAGAGTGAAGAATGAACCACTGCTACATGCAGATGTAGTGTAGATGGAGCTCACTAACAGCATTAATTGAAAGATACTGAATACAAAAAAGAATGCAAACTAAATTCCATTTTCTTAAAGTAAAAAAAAGGTAAAACTAAAGAGTACTTTTTAGCAATTCATGCTAGAGCAGTAAAAATGTAACTAAAAAAGAGCAAGAAAGAGTCTGATTATCAAGAATGATAAACTGCCAGGTTGCAGTTCTTTGTGTGATGGAGTCAGGGTGGGAGCGTTGAGGAGGTGAGATGTCTTTGAGGCTGCTGATGTTGAGTGGTGGGGGTCTGGTTGTTTATTTGTTGAGAATTATTGAGCTGTGTGTTCCTGTGTTGTGTACTGCTATGTATGTTTCACTTCACAATATAAAAAGTTAAAAAGTAAACCATAGAACAGAATTAGTAAAAATAAATATGTTTTTAAATAGAAACTTTATTTTCTGTTTTATCACTGAAAATTACCTGATATCAATTTTTTAAGAAAATAGTTTATAGTAATTATATAGCATTATTTTACAAAGGGGAAAAATTCTTATTTTTTTTTCACGTACATAACAATCACATTACTTGGATACAAATGAATCATGAACTGTTACTCTGTTTTAACTGAGTTTAAATTATTTGAAAAAAATGTGTTGTCTTTTTTGTACAAAAATATTGTTACATTCAGTTTTCTATAAGCATGTCATAATTGATGGCTGAAGTATTTTTTAAGCTTAATAAATACACTGTTTTAGATTTTTCTCACTTTTTTCTTTACGTCTACCTTCTAAATTAACTACATAAAATATAGCTATATCGTAATGACATTAACTCAATAATATTTCATTAGAAAATTCACCTGTCTTTATAAAAATATTTCATTATACAACCAATGTTGGTTGATTATCATATGAAGTTTTTTTTAAGCTGTTAAAGTAGCTGTTCATTACTAATATTATAAGGCACTTGATAAGTGCCTATCTGGATGTGACAGTCAACATACACATATTTCATATATGTTAGAGTTTGAATTTCAAGAATACTATACATATAAAGAAAATATTCATCATAAGATAATTAACAAAGATCTCTGTTTATGCTGCCTATGATACTAGGCTTACCTACACATTCTCGTGTTCCCAATATTTCATAATTCAAGCATTCATTATTTTAGAGTAGGCAACTACCTCAGTCCTCCTGAGAAGTCATTTATTAAATGAATGAAGTATGAAGGTGTTAAGTGAGTGAGGGGAATCTAGTCTTTGAACTCTAGAACTTTAGTTGTTATACTTTATTCGTTGACAATTTGTTTCACCCTACTCCATGAATGCTCAAACCAAGCAATAAATTGATAAAGAATAGATTTTCTTTCAAAAGATGCATTCTGTGTCTTATTCTGTGTGTGTAAATGACATTTTATTTCAGATCTAAGGCAGCTGTTGTGGAAACTTTCCGTTGTTTGGCGTTCCTAACGCTGTGTAGATTTGGTCACCTGAAGCCTTTCATTCCTTCCTTGGCGTTTGCTTCTGAGGTAAGACATTTGCTTTAGGGAGCTATAGTGGGTATAAGCGTCTGTTGCATATTTAATTCACTCATTCAACATTGTTTTTGTCTACTTTGTGACTAGTAGTACTCCTCGGAAATGTTTACCCACTCATTACTTACCAATACTTACCCATGTCACCTTGCGCTAGTTAATATTGTAGAGTCTCAGTTTTTTGGATTGATACCATTAGCCTCCATAAACTTGTTGAGCAAATTGCATTGCATAACGTTTATAAAGAAATTAGGCCATATAGTTTTTTCTCAACAAGTGATAGAAGTGATTTTACACAAAAAGTTCTTGTCAGATATTCTGCCATTTGAGACTTTTCTTTTAGGCTGGTAAAGTGAGAATTGTGATTAAGATATTTTGTCAGTTGCCTGCAAAAGTTAGTAATTCTATAGAAATAAAACCATTAATGTCACTGAGATTTTTCTGCAACTGAAAAATATGTTTTATTTTTGATATGATATTTTGTTATGATAAAACTTATCTTCCAAGAACTACATTAAATTTTGGGATGCATGTTTATGACTTCAGATCTTAAACAACTGTTAAAAAAAACTTCATTCTCATTGCTAAGGTTTTAATGGACATGATTTTATTCTTTTAAATTAAAGGTTATGTTGTTTAACTTTGGTGCTGAGCAACCTAATGGCCATTAGTAGGGGACTGCTTAAAAATTATGGTTCACTTATAAAGTTGAAATATGCATTTATAAATAGAAACAGGGAAATCTTTAGTACCAGTACAGAGCATTTACATAAAATGCTATATATTTGAGCTTGCTCCATATATTTATATATATATAATGGAGAGAGAGAGGGAAAAAATAAAACATGATACAGGGGAGCATGTGAAGTATGAGAAGTATTGCTACCATCCAAGGCATAGAGTATAAAATGAGGCAGAGTAGTTATATGCATATAACTGTATAAATCTTTTCATGTGCATGTAAATATATCTGGAAAACTAAACAAGTACCTAACACATTGTTGGGAAAAGTTAATTGTTTGACTAGAAGAAAGGAGTAGAGAGAAGATTCTTCATTAAGGTAATATTTTTTGGTACCTTAAAATTTCTGAACCATGTAAACATATTTCCTATTCTAAAAAATAAATTAAAACATTAAATCATAGTAACAAGACCTTGGATATCATCTAATCTAATACATTCTGCATTTAAATAGGCATTAAATAAGGTTTATATGTGTACATATATTTTGTTTCTTGAGATTACAACCTAAAGTCAAATGGAAGCATAAATTGTACGTATTTAATGAAATTTAGAAATATACATGCCAAAAGAAACTTAAAAAAATAGCATTTTCATATTCTACCCGAGGAAAGATGTTCTAATTGTAGACATAAAAGAAGAGTAATTTTTGAGTATATTATGGTAGCTTATCTTAAATGTTCTTTAATCCATGCTGTAAACATGTGAAAATGTATGCTTACAAAACCATTGTGTTTGGGGTTTTTCATGATGAGATAGTGAAGGGCAGTGTAGTATGTCCAGCTTTTGAGTATGACTAACTCTGTGGGTGAAATGCTGTCCATCCGTTTACTTACTTAGTCAATAGGTGAAAGACAGTGGTTAAGCCTTGAGCTTTGAAGCTACATTGTCTGAATTTGATTCCTGGCTCAGAACTTACTAGCTTTGTGTCTTTGGCGTTAAACTCCACACCTGTAAAAGGATAAACTAAAAATGTCTGTCAAATCGGGTTTTGGGGATTAAATGAAATAATCTATGTAAGAGTCTTAGTCTAGTGCTTAACACATAGTACAAGCTTAATAAATATTAGGCGCTATTATAATTATTTTAAATGAACTTAAGAATCCTTCGAAGCGATTCTTCGGCTCACCATGAGATCCAAAAGTCAAGTTTGGGAACAACTGACATAGGGGCTGGAGAGGAGCAATAGTGCTGAACCAGAAATTATGGTCGTGAATTCTTAATCTGACACTCGCTTTATTGGACGTTGGACTCTGTGCCTCGGGTCATTCACCTGTAAAATAGGTTTAATGAGAGCTAATATGTGTTGTCGAAAAGACTTACTTGCATTATTCCATTTAGTCCTCATATCAAACTCATGACGTAGTCACTATTATTATTTTCATAATGGAAAATTGAAAAACAGAGATTAAGTTACTTGTTTGAATTCACACAGTCACACGCAGACAGGCCAGGACACAACTCAGGCAGTCTGACACCAGAGCTCTTGGTTACTTAACAGTGTTTTCTTCCATATATTGATAGCAGTACTCATCCTCTTCAAGGGTTTTAGATGAAAATTCAGATGCAGTGTAGCAAAAGCACCTTGAAAAATGCAAAGAGCAATAATAAAGGGTCTTATCCATTTAACTGCAAAGTATTCTGAAAAGACTAATAGTTTAAATAATTTTTCTCTGAGTTATCTTTGGTTTATGATTCAAGGAAGGCAGGACATGATGGCAAAATCTTTTAAGCTGCTTACCTATTGTTTCCAGAAAAGCACACACAGGGCCAATTCTTCTAGTGCAGATATTGCCTGTAATTTGCCACTAAAACGTTTTCTAACAATAGTGTAATAATGACATCTACTCCATGAAGCTTGGTGGGAAAATTAAAAGACACAAGGGAGGACCATAGGAAGCACTTGATACATTTTAGTTGCCATTATTCATGTTACTGTTAGTACTGTTATTATTCTTGTTATAAAAACTATTTTTACTACTGTTATCATTATTAAAATACTATTATTATTAACCATTTAATTTCCGAGGTTAAATCTGAACAAGTCTTATCTGACTAGAGGTCAAAAACTATATGGAAAACATTGAGCTAATATTTTACTATCAACATTTTTACCTGTGAAAAGCAGCCTTTTTTTCCACTTCTTCTTTTTGTTGTTGTTATTCAGGCTTTTTATTGAATTATAGTTGATTTACAATTTTATTTTCTGGTGTATAGCATAGTGATTCAGTTATACGTATATATATATATTTTTACATTCTTTTTCATTATAGGTTATTATAAGCTATTGAATATATTTCCCTATGCTGTACAGTAGGACCTTGTAGTTTATCTATTTTATATACAGTAGTTAGTATCTGCAAATCTGAAACTCCTAATTTATCCCTCCCCCTCCCTTGGCCCTTTGGCAACAGTAAGTTGTTTTCTGTTTGTGGATCTGTTTC